GGGCATGTTTTTCAGATTCAGCAGATTCAGTAAAGTCCCCAGGGATGACTGTTGTCACTGCTGCAGCCCAGGAGGGAGAGAACAAACATAGCCACCCTGCTCTGAAATCTCACTGGGCACCGCTCCTTGCGTGGACCATCTCTCTGAATCCTTGGAGCAACACTGTGCCACAGTAGGTGTTCCCATTTTACAGATGAGAAACCAAGGCTCCAAGAGGTCCAGAGACTTTGCCCAGGTTTCACTGTGAATGGTAGAGGTGGAATTTGACCCTGGACCTGCCTGACTCTAAGCTCTGGTCTTCGGCATCTTACTGCATAGCCCCCTCTAGCTCCCTGAGGCTGCCTTCATCCTTCAGGGACTCTTAGACATGCTGTACCAGGCTGGTATGGACCCCCCTGGAGGATAAGCTTCCAGTTGGCACCAGACCAGGCGCCTCTGGCCAGATCCACTGGCTTGCTAAAGGACACATTGGCCGGCAGCTGCTTATCTGGTGGGCTGAGCTAGTAGGTTTGTTTTAATGGAGGGGGAAGATTTCACCTCCTGGTGGCTGCTCCATGGGCCCTGGGCTTGGCATTGGCAGCACCTATGGTAATATGATCCCTTCCTCCAGTCATGCTTTGGAAGTTATGTCAGGTGTGTGGGTGAGGTGTTTGGTTGAAATAAATAAAGCTGGAGGAGAATGACAGGAGTGAGGGAGTAGAGATAGCTTTGTACTGCCCCAGAGGGCAGTCTGGCTGGGCTGTCTGCTCTTCCTTCCTGACCTGGGGCCAGGAGACCTGAACCTTTGCAGGTCCTGCCTTGGGGCCCAGAGGAGTGGGAGTTGGCCCAGCCAGCTTGGGAGGTTGTGTCACCTTGCAGTCACAGAGCCTAGAGCTTGAAGGAGCTTCAGATATCATCCAGAGAGGAAAAGCCTGCTTAAGCTCACACAGCCTTTGGTGGTGGAGCTGAACTGGAATTTCCCAATACCTAAACCTAGGCTCTTTCCCACTATCCTGCACAGTTTGGGGAGGGTAGACTCGAAGAAGCTTAGACCATACTGCCTTTTTCCTGCCCTCTGACTGCTCGGGGACCCTTCTTGATCAGCCTCTTCCCTGCTGACTCAGCCCTGTAGCTGTCCTGAGGGGAGGTGTGCTCTCGGGCACCCCTAGTGGTGAAGAGCCTCCATGGCGAAGAAAGGGAAGGGCGACGAGCTCCCAGTTCCTTCACTTCGCATCTGCAGAATTTTATGAAACATCGATGCAAGACATCAGAGGGGGTGCCAGGAACGTTAAAAATTATTGGAGTTTTCCCAGAAGGGCTACCTCCCAGGAAAGGGGCATCACAATACAAAAGAGTCTGCAACTAGGGCTACTTGCTCGTAAGCGTGATCAGCTCTGAGGGCTTAGAGCACAACGTCAGGCTGTGCTTCATTGAAAAGTGAAGATAAAAGGAGGCAGCGATGAGGGCCTGGCTCTGAAAGTGTAATGGAGGGTAGGGAAGGCATTCGAGGCAAAAGGAAGAGCCAGAGTAAAGGATGGGGTAGAGATGGCATTCTGGACCTGGTAATGCACACCCTGAGGGTACCAAACGACCCTGTCTTCACTCGGAGAACATTTACTGAGCACCTGGCTCTAGGCCAAGCCTTGGGTAGTTGGTAGGACTGAGACCCTCAGGAAGCACTTAGCCCAGTGGAGAAGACAAGTCAGTAAACTGACAAGCTTGAGGCAATGGGAGAAGCACTAAAGTAGAGGAAGTGCAGGCTGTGATGGAAACTGGGGAGGTGGTGAGTATGGGGAGGCTTTCTGGAGGAGATACTGTTTTTACTGAAATGTGAATAGGAATTAGCCAGGTTCGGGGTAGGGACTATACAGGAAGTGTCCCAAGCAGGGGAACTATGTGTGAGGTTCTTGAGATGGGACAGGGGACAGATGGGACTCAAGTGAGGAAACATGGCCTTGCCTGAAGGTTCTCACAAGCCAGCGGAGGGGCTATTTTCCCCAGAATGTGGGCCACAGAGGGGAGAGGATGTGAGGCAAAGATTCTTTTCACCGCTCAGGGTGCTGCCTGGGAGAATTCCACCTCTGATTGTTCCTCCTTCCTTCCTGTGGGTCCCTGCGTCCATCCCTACTGCTCCCCAGTCTTGGGACCATCAGGGCTATGTGTCCACTGCAGCTCTCAGCTCCTTTCAGCATGTTTTGTGGTGGTGCCGTGATTTAAGCACACCGTGGTGGTCAGGAGTACCTGGGCTGGGCCCCTCAGCACCAGGGAGAAGCCTCGGGGCGGTTCCCTGGAAGAGAGATGTTCCCCAAAGGTGGCTCAGGAATACTTTGGAATGGGAGGAGGAGAAGCCCGCCAGTTCAGGAGATGGTGGGCTGTGGGGAGGGTTTAACTCACTTCCTAGGTGCCAGGACACTTGGGGTCCTTGGGCAGCCACCAGAGGGCCAGATCAGCGCACTGGCGTGGGACTCCTAGCCTGTGTCCCGTGTCCTGACCACCTGCTGCCCTCATTCGCCTTTCTGCAGAGCCCAAGGAGCTGCCCTGCCTTGGAAAAGGACTTTGACACAGTTTCAAAATAAAGTGGAAAAAAATATCTGGAGGGGAAAAAGAATAAACACACTTTAAAGATGCAAAAGGGTAAAGTAATTAGCCTCCAACTAATAAAAATAAATGAAAAAAAAATAAAGATGCAAAAGGAAGCATTTATTTTTTAAAAAAGGAAAAATATGGAAGAGTTCCTCATCCAACTCACTTGAGTGAAAGTTTCCAGCCACTGTGATGTGAGGTCAGGGACTTCAGGGAGCGGGAAGTTCCGGATGCAAACACCTGGAGTGTCCTCAGTGCGGATTCAGGATCAGTCTAGCCAACAGCAAGGGCCACCGTCCACCTGCCACCCTCTGTGTTCTGTGTGGTGGTGGAGATACAAAGACCTGGTTCTTCCCTCCAGCTGAGGGTCCAGTAGGGCAGCGAGGACTGTTGGACAAGAGAGAGTGTGACAACTGTCATGGCAGAAAGGTTCCAGTGAGCATGAAGGAGTCCAGGGGGCAGAGAGGGTTCACATCTGCGGGCTGGAGAGAAAGCTCGGTGCTGCTGAGGGAAGGTTTCAAGGAAGAGCTGGATTAACTTAGACTTTGAAGCCTGACTGGGATTTCAGCAGACAGAGACTGAGGAGAGGCTTTCCGGGTAGAGCTGAAGTGCAAGGTGGGAAATTCTCTAGTACTTTGAGAAACAGGGACATTCAGTTTTCTCACGCATTTCTTTATTTGCTTATCTATTTATTTAAAACTACTTTATTGAGAGTTATATGTCACATATACTTCACCCATTTGAAGTGTACAATTTACAAAGTCGTATAACTCACACTGCAGTCAATTTTGGATGATTTTCATTACCTCAGAAAGAAACGCTGTACCTACTAGTAGTCACTCCCCATTCCCCAGGCCCTAGGCAACTCCCTGTCTACTCTCTGTTCCTGTGGATTTGCCTATTCTGGATATCTTATATAAATGGAGTTGTATTATCTGCGATTTTTGGTGACTGATTTTCACTTAGCAAGATGTTTTCAAGGTTCACCCATGGTATATAGCATGTGTCAGTGCGTCATTCCTTTTAATGTTTTTCTCTGCCTCCATTCCTTTTTATGGCTGAACAGCACTGCTGTATGGACAGACTACACTTCATATATCTACTCATCAGTTCAGTTCAGTCGCTCAGTCATGTCCGACTCTTTGCGACCCTATGAACCGCGCAGCATGCCAGGCCTCCCTGTCCATTACCAACTCCTGGAGTTTACCCAAACTCATGTCCATCGAGTCGGTGATGCCATCCATCCATCTCATCCTCTGTTGTCCCCTTCTCCTCCTGCCCCCAATCCCTCCCAGCATCAGGGTCTTTTCCAGTGAGTCAACTTTTCGCATCAGGTGGCCAAAGTATTGGAGTTTCAGCTTCAGCATCAGTCCTTCCAATGAACACCCAGGACTGATCTCCTTTAGGATGGACTGGTTGGATCTCCTTGCGGTCCAAGGGACTCTCAAGAGTCTTCTCCAACACCACAGTTCAAAACTCATCAGTGATGGCCATCTGTGTTGCTTCTACTTTGAGACTATTATGAATATGCTCCTGAGAACATCTGTGTACCAGTTTTCGTGGGCATGTATGTTTTCAAGGCTTTTCTTTTCGAATGGGATCCAGGATAGTCCTGGTGAGGAGCAGGAGGAAAGAAGATGAATCAGAGGGACCTGCTCACCCACCGACTGCTCTGAGCAGTTGGGTGGGAGTGCAAAGGTTCAGCTCAGGATCCTGGTCTGGTCTCACTGGGAACTGGGGCTGTGTGAGGCCAGGGCAGGGCTGGCCCCCCACCAGCAGACACCCCCAGTGTTGTGTTCAATCTGGAAACTGTTTGCTGGGCTGGAAATAGTCTAGGCAGCTGGTATTTTCCCTGGAAATCAGGTGCTTTTTCCTGTGTCTCACTGAGGGCCAAAATTAGTTGAACACGTAGAGAAGTGTGAGCTACACTGTTAATCTAGGGGAGGGGAGTGTTGTCAACAGGAAGCTGACCGGCCAGGGGAAAGGGGTGGTCAGGAAGATGCAGGTCAATAATCCAAGTGTAAATTGGGATTAAGTTGCAGTGCCCCTCCCCCATCACACACACACAGAGGCTGTGGTTTTGTTTACAGGAAATGCTGCAATTGTCTCCCTGGCCCCATTTGACCGATGGGGAGACAGAGGCACTATATTAAAGGGATCTCCCATTCAGAAACAGAAGAAGGATTAAAGCCGTCAGTCTGGTTCTGCTGTCAGCAGTAGGTTTGGTAAAATCCAGGTCTTGCCCTCAGCATTATGGTTGTTTTTGGGTTCACAGGAGCAGGCTGAGGACACAAGAATAAGAAAGGGTTTGTGCTGTTTTGATCTCCTAAAAAAGAAGACTAAACCCCACCTTAAACCCAAAGCAAAAGCATAAAATAGGGCTTTAATTACCATCTTTTCTTTTATCCCCTTTTCTTCATTTTTTTTTTGCTCCCCAGCCAGAAAACATTATGTTGTTGGACAAGAATATTCCCATTCCACACATCAAGCTGATTGACTTTGGCCTGGCTCATGAAATAGAAGATGGAGTTGAATTTAAGAACATTTTTGGAACACCAGAATTTGTTGGTGAGTTTTACGCCTGTTTTTCTCCCAGCTGAGAATCTGGGATCAACAGATAGAGAAATCCCAGGAGCGAACCCTGTGTCTGGGGCTGTAGCCTCTGGGCTGAGAGATAATGCCTTGTGTGCGTGCGTGCGTGTGTGCCAAGCTGCTTCAGTCATGTCCGACTCTTTGCGACCCTGTGGACCATAACCTGCCATGCTCCTTTGTCCACAGGAAATGTCTTGCTGGCCTCTGGGTGAGGGTTGAGCACCAGCGGGGCAGTGGGAGGCCAGGTGGGGCTGGGGCCCTTTGCAGAGTTAAATCTTCCCAGAGCTGGCCCCACTTCCTGCTCTTAGACAAGCTGATTGTGAAGATTTAAAATTACCTCACCCTGTTGCATTCCCATAAACTCGATCTTTTCTGGAGTAGCTTTTGATTTCCTAAAAAAGAAAAGGGAAATTATATGCCAGATCCACACACTTGCCTGTCCCATACATCTGGCCTTCATTCATGCACAGAGTGCCCAGTTCCAACAGGGCTCTGGCGGCTCTGTCTTCCCTCTGTGTCTCTCAGCCTTGGCCCAGGCCACAGAAACCCCCTTTTAGGACTTGTGCCACAGGTCAGGGGGTCATAAAGAAACAGCTTTGCAGAGGAGAAAGGAGTGAGAATTGAGAACCACCATCTCACTGCTCGGGGAGTTGAAATGCTCTTAGAGATGGAAGGAGGGCATGGTTTCCTCAAAATCTGGGGACTGAAACTTCTGACCACAGTCTAAACAAAAAGAAAGATGAACCAGATCATCCACCATGATGGAGCTTCAGGCCACATATACCAACTCTGTAGCCACTAGGGAATGAAACTGCAGAAGCCCCAGCAGGGGAATCTTGCCATGTGCCAGGCACTAGGCCTGGTGTTCTGTATACAGACATTGTCCAGTTAATACCCATACAATCCTCGGAAGAAGGTTCAAAATATTTTCTCCATCAAGTGCCTTATTCAAGTTAAAACAACCAGTACACAATAGAGCAGAGATTCAAATACAGATACATCCAACATCAAAGCCTATGCTCTTTTTTTTTTTTTTTTTTTGACTGCACTGCGCAGCATGTGGAATCTTAGCCCTGACCAGGGATTGGTTCTGTGCCCCCTGCAGTGGAAGTGCAGAGTCCTATACACTGGACCACTAGGGAAGTCCCAAAGCCTATACTCTTTCCATTATACCAGGATATCTCTCGAAGGAGCCTTCAAGGGGCTTATAATTTAGCTGTGGAAACAAGACATCAAACCATCAAACAATAGTGCTAGAGGGATCTTTTCAGATCATCTGGTCTAGTTTAACAGACATGGAATTGGAGAGCTAGGGGATTTTAGTTAAAGTCAACCAGTGGTTATTCTCTACCTACCGTATGATAGACATCAGATGCTGGAGACACAGGGATGGTAAGGAGCCACAATCAGAATGACACACCCAGGGTCACAGAGTGAGTGGCAGAACCAACTTGAACCTACAGGTACAGGTGTACAGTCTCAAACTTTGCCCAGGATAGCAGTTCAGTTCAGTTCAGTTCAGTCGCTCAGTCGTGTCTGACTCTGTGCGACCCCATGAATCGCAGCACGCCAAGCCTCCCTGTCCCTCACCAACTCCCGGAGTTTACTCAAACTCATGCACATCGAGTCGGTGATGCCATCCAGCCATCTCATCCTCTGTCATCCCCTTCTCCTCCTGCCCCCAATCCCTCCCAGCATCAGGGTCTTTTCCAATGAGTCAACTCTTCGCATGAGGTGGCCAATGTATTGGAGTTTCAGCTTCAGCATCAGATAGCAGTTACTGCCCACCATTCACATATGTGGTAAAAACGCATGTTTTATTTAAGTTCAAACCAAGGGTTGAATAATAATAAATGGTTCAACTAGAAATTCAGGGCAGTAATGGAAGAGTTGTCATGAGAGAGGATGTGGTTAATTGTCAAGTGAGTGATACAGACAGCTCTGAAAGACTGTTACACGAGATAGCCACTCTCACAAGGTCAGTGGGCTCAGTCCTGGCCTTGAGTGAGATACACGGTGCTGGTGTTGTGGGTGGAGGGGAATCTAAAGGGGGGTGGGGTGGGGAAGAAGCCAGGGCGGAGGAGGTGCATATCTGAGGTACCCCAGTTTATCAGGGACAGTTCACTGTCTTTTCTAGATGGATCAGAGGGTTCACATGGGCTGGCAATGTGATTGGGACACTGATGGGCAGAGCCAGACAAACTGTGGAGGGTTTTTCCCAGTGATATACTGGTAAATGTCTAACAGTCAGGTCTCAGGGCAAAGCAAAATACAACCCTAATTTATAACATTTACCAGTTTCTAGCTACCAACCTGTTTCACTGAATTCAGAGTTGGGAAGAGATGCACACAATTGACCCTTGTGAGCCAGTATGATACAACTCCAGCCTAGAACTGGTCTTATTTGCTCCTTACAGATATATAGGGTGGTTTCTGTAAGCCCCTGCCCAAATTATGATGACTTCCTTTTCCCAAGACCCCTGAACACAGGTTATAACCACTGTTCCCTATTCCCACCATTCTTTGAAATTTTAACCTGAGACCAGGGTTAAAAACTGTCAGCTTCTGGGAATGTGGTGGCCAACTTCTTCCAAAAGGTCCTCTCACTACAAAATTGGATTCTTGAGAAAAATATGGTTTTTAATGTGATTCTGGACTTAGGAAGTAAGATAAATCTTTAAATATAGTTACTCCTTCAGCATCTCCTCTCCTACCCTAAAAATTGAGTGAAATGAACTTAGAGCCGGAGCTGTGAGCTACAAGAATATTCAGTAAGACCATCTCTCCTAAAGGCAAGTGCACATGTCAGCATTTATCAGAGACTAGCAAGATTTAGATGTTCAAGGAAGTAGGATATTAAAGTGATCAGATGTTGACTATAAAATAAATGGAATGTATATAGAAATAACAGGTAAACTCTTAAGAATGAGCAAGCAACAAGAGATTCAAAAATGACCAGGTAAATTTTTAAAAGAACCAGATAGAACTTGAAGAAATTCATACGCTCATTGAAATTTTAAACTCAGTGGATCAATGGCTAATTCATTTCAATGTATGACAAGAACCACTGCAATGTTGTAAAGTAATTAGCCTCCAACTAATAAAAATAAATGGGGAAAAATAAATAAATAAATAAACTCAGTGGATGGGCCAAACAGCAGATTATACACAGCTGAGGAGAGAGTTAAAGAATTGGAAGTCTGAGCTGGAAAAAATTAGCTAGACTATCACACAGTGGCAAAGATATAGAAATATTAAAGAGAGGATAAGTGGAATAAGGTTAAAATAAAAGGTTTAACATAGGTCTATTTGGATTCCTGGAGGAGGGAATTAAGACACTAGAGGGGCAGTATCTGAATAAAACTGCTGAGAATTTTCAGAACTGATGTAAAAACATGCATCCCCAGATACAGAAAGGACAGTGTATTTCAATCAGAAAGAAGTCCATACCTATAAGGTCCATACATTATACTTAAACTATAAGGCATCAGAGACAAACAGAAGATCTTAAAAATCAACCAGAGAGAAAAGACAGATTGCCTATAAAAACCAAAAATAAACAAAAACCAATAATTTGACTGACAGCATACTTCTTAAAATGACAATGTCCAATAGAATATGATATTCAATGAACTGGGGAGAAATAAAAACTCCATAGTTGTGAAGAAATTGTATTTTAAGAATGAAGGTAAGAGATTTAAAAAAAAAAAAGCAAAAACAAAATAAAAAGAACAACAACAAAAAAGATAAATAATAAAAACAACCTCCAACAGACCTTTGTTAGGGGAACTTCTAAAAGGTGTACTCGGAGTTCTAAATGCAAGAAGTAATAGGAGCAAAGAAATCAGTGAACATTAGGCAAATATAATTATTTCTTTCCTAAATAATGATGATGATGATGAAGCTTAAATATAGGGCTGAAAAAAGATAGAACTAGAAACTGAAGAAAATAATGTTAGATAGGACAGAGTACTTGAAATTAGTGTTCTAAAATTCTTGTATTGTTAGTGTGTGTGAGTGTGAGTCGCTTGGTCGTGTCCGACTCTGCGACCCCATGGACTGTAGCCCGCCAGGCTCCACTGTCCATGGGATTCTCCAGGCAATAATACTGGAGTGGGTTGCCATTTCCTTCTCTACTGTATTGTTAGAGGAGGGCCAAAATATTGCTTTATGTTAGAATTTGTTTCATGTCCATAGTAAAATCTCAGGGGTAGTCATTACAAAAATAGAAGTTAGAGAAAAAACAGCCAATAAGAAAACTAACAAGAAGCAATTTTTTAAAAAGACGAGAAAGAAAAACACAGATGAAAGTGGAAAAACAAAAGCACCTGGAGGACAGAAATGAGTATGTATTTATATCAAGCAGATGAGCACTGAAAAGTGAGTTGTGCTTCTCAAACTCTCTGTGAGGAACAACTTGGGGGAAAATAGTATATCCTGGACAGCTTCTTCAATAAGATACAATACAAATCAATTCCTAGAAAAGTGACCATGGTGTGAGTGTCATGGCAATGTCAAATTGCTCTGTGTGTGTGTGCTAGGTCGCTCAGTCGTGTCCGACTCTTTGCGACCCCATGGACTGTAGCCCTCCAAGCTCCTCTGTCCATGGGATTCTCCAGGCAAGAATACTGGAGTGGGTTGCTATGCCCTCCTCCGGGGTATCTTCCCAATCCAGTGATTGAACCTGGGTTTCCCACACTGCAGGTGGTTCTTTACCAGCTGAGCCTCTAAATACATACTCTCAACTTCTGTTCATATCTTGTCAGCACCCATGACAGTCTGCAGATTATTTGCCTGCAGACTGTATTTTGAATATCACTGTCCTAGTGAAAGCCTTTCTTGTGTGTCTCAGGAGACAGGTACAGAAGAGCTCAGAGCAATGTTTTTTCAATAAAAGATAATAATACAATAAAATAATAAAAATAAGTACAGACCACCCAAATTATCACCAAGGAAGTGACTGGAAGATAGTCTGTATTCACAAAGTGGACTATTATATAACAGTGAATATGAAAGACCATGGGTGAACATTCAGTGAATGCTGGAAGCATCAGTTGAGTGGGGGAAAAAGGTCTATTGATGGTAGATGAGATTCAGTATGGCATCATTTTTTGGAAGCTGACAAGAAAGCAAAGCCGGGAGAGTGGTTCCCTACATCTGGGAGGGTGGGATGGTGGGCTCATCCTATAGATGCAGAGGTTTTGATATTGTTCTAGATAAACAAACTTAGCCTTCCCCTCTCTCTACCGTCTCCCATTCGTGATTAAACAGGCTCAATCCTCCCTTTTCTAGTTATCGCCTCCTGTTTCTTTTCTATTTCATCACCAAGCTTTTTTAAAGAGTCATCTGCACCCTTATCTCACAGCCCACACTCAGCACTCTCTGGTCACTGCAGTGGGTGTGAAATTCAACACTTGCTTTCCAGTCCATCCAGGGCCATGGGCTTGATCTCCAGGCAGCATTTGGTTCTCTTCTCTCCTGGGTAGTCTTCTTTCCTAGATTCAGCCCCTTCTCATGGTCCTGGCAGCATGCACATGGCTCCTGTTTCTACCTGTGTGATGACCTGGGTGATGGCTCTGGCCCACCTCATTCCTTCCCCAGGTGCCCAGCCTGTTTCTGGCACCTTCTTTTGGATGCCCCTCAGACATCACAGGCTCCTCACCTCAGTGGCCACCAGAATGTCCTCCTGCCCCTGCTCAGGTGGGAGGTGCCCTCTTTAGACACCCTCAGAGGAGTGTGGATTCTCTCTCTGCCTCCTTTTCTCCCCCATCACCTTCCAGCACTGGCCTGACTGGTTTCCAGCTGAGAGTTCTAAAGCAGTCTTTGTTGTGGGCCCCACTGTCCCCTCCTGCACCCTCCTCTCCCCACCCTCCTCTTCCTTTTCCAGGAGTCCCCTTGTGCTTTCTGGCTTCCTCACTATCAGAATAACAGGCAACTTCCTCCCTCAAAATCCTTAGACCCAGGTTATCTCCATCTGCCTCTCTAATTTTCCTTAGAGAGGGTTTAGGATGGAGACATTTGGCATCTAATCCCCTAAAATTCCTTAAGATCATCTCTTCTCCTTTTCTTACTCCTGCTGACTCTTCAACATGGCTTCTTTCAGCTCCAGAAATTGTGAACTATGAGCCCCTGGGACTGGAGGCTGACATGTGGTAAGTGGGACAGGCCACCCAGGTGGCCCCATATCCTGGCTCTGGCTGACATCCCCCCTGGATGAAAACCTCTTCCTCCACACTCACCTTTAAGAGCCTCTGGCTGTTCCTGGGGTGCTGGCATGTGGCCAGTTAGCACATGGCCAAGGCAGAGAACAAGGGGCTGGAAGCTAGAGGTACAGGTTCACCCTGAGACTGCCATGGCCATGATAAAGATACTAGTGACAATAATTCGTTCTGTTGGTCAACCATGTGATCACTGGGGGCCTCATGTATCCCAGCTACTGTGCTGGGCTGGGGCACACCACAGTGATTGACTCTGCACAAACAGGGCTCATTTCATGTCAACTGTGCTATACAGTTGGCTGAGCACCTTGATCACTTGGTTTTCTAAAATCCTCCCAGTGGTCCTGTAAGATAGTTATCATTATCCTCATTTTATGAGGCGAAAGAGGCTCAGAGGTGGTCATCACAGATGTAAGTGGGTCCTTGGACTCAACGTCCAGAGCTGGTTGACCCTGAGCAAGTCCCAGGCTGCTGCTGAAGTGTGGGGTGGGGAGGGGTGTGGGGCTTGAGGCAGCGTGCGGGGGCTGCCGTGAAGGGGCCCTCAGAGCCATACTGGGAGTCGCTTGCTGGTCTGGGAGGAGAGCCAGGCGGCCCTGACTTGACTGTTCTTTGTTTTGCAGGAGCATCGGTGTCATCACCTACATCCTGTGAGTATGACTGATCCTGGGGCCCTGACCCAGCTCAGATCCAGGGGGAGCAGGAGGAATGAGAGAGGGGCAGGCAGGCAGACAGACAGACTGACATTTTCTGAGCACCCACCATGACCAGATGAGTTAGATCCACACAGCCAACCTGAGGCTAAGTGCTCTCAGCTCGATTTTGTAATTTGAGCCTGGCCCTGGGGGTGGGCAGGAACCCGGGAGAGCAGCCTGCAGCCCTCCATTCTGCACTGCTTGTGTCTGCATCCCTCCCGTGGCCGGGATCCACCGTGTGGCCTCACCCGGACCCAGGTTTCCGGTGAGAAGGTCAGTTTTCACTCAGAAACCTGGGACAGCCCTCAAGTCACCATGCCCTTCCTTATCCTGCTTGTCTTTCTCTGCCTTTCCTCTCCCTTCCCCAGAACCCCTTTTCCTCTCACATACTGTCTCTTCTCTTTTCCCCATAGTCTCTCTTTCTTAACTCTGAAGTATTAAGTGCGTAAGCAGAGATTTCCTACATTGTGGAGCGAAACTGTCACTTTCCATCTCTATGGCCTAGGGCAGAAAAACAACCTCTGGGCTTGTTTTTCTCATCAGAAAAATAGGAATCATAAACTTCCTGCCACGGGTGTGTTGAGAATTAAATAAGCCGACGTGCAAACTTCCTAGCACTGCTCAGACACAGACATGGCTGATTAGTTGGTGTTCTTTACATCAGTACTTCCCAACTGTTTCCGCTCACAGCACTCCTGGAAAATGCTGTTTTTATGGCACTCGTAAGAGGCAGCCCACAGCCAGAAGGGATGAAGGATGGGGAGGCCAACACTCAGCTCTCTCAACACCCCTGTAATCCCTCGCTCTGACTCCTCTTGGACTGGGAGCTCTGCTCAATGTGGTGGATGCCACCTCCCCGCCCCACTTCTGCCCCCTGAGTTGCAACAGAGGGTGTCAACCCAGGCAGCATGTCAGACCTTTTTTTTTCTTTTTCTTCACATCAGACCTTTTAATATCTGCTAAGGCCCAGGCCCCACTCCAAATCTATGAAATCAGAATCACTAGGAGTAAGATCTGGGCATTAGTATTTTTTAAAAGCCATAGAGGATTTCGATGCAGAGAGAATTTGATGCATTGCTGCATAATTCTAGATTAGAGCCAGGATATTCAGACATGGGCTTTAAACACCTTGATATCTTCAGAACTGTGGCTTTCCTATTGAAATAGTAAGGAATTCCAGCATCTCCAAGACACACAATCTTCCTGTAGCTCACTGAATTCCATACAGTTTATTGACTGCCTGATCCTTGGTGAACACAGTGCCAGGCACTCAGGGTACTAAATGGAGAGTCTATCCTGGTTGCCTGAAACTTCTTTTGTGGGAGGGAGACACCAGACTGCTAACTCTCACACAGTGGGACCAAGGTTGTGCTTTAGGTATGAACATGGCTTTGTGAGACAAATGGGAGAGCCACTGGTTTGCTGGGACTGCAGAAAGTTTAATGGGAGAGAGGGAGCAAGAGAGGGAGACAGGAGAGAGAGATTGATTTGAACTGGACTGGAAGGAATGAGATGAATATTCCTGGTGGAAAGGAAAGAAAGTGCCATCCTGACTGAGGAAGGGGACAGCGAGTGTGGTAAGTGCAGTGAAAATACAGAATGTGTGGTGGGGATCAACTTTTGATGCCTTGCTGAGAAGTTTAGATGTGATTCTATAGAAAACAGGAGGGAGGGTAGGGCCCAAGGACTTCTGGGACAATGGTGTATTTTGAATATTAGGCAGGAGACAGTAGATTCAGGAGTCACTGTTTGAATGGCACATTTTTTTTTTAATATATTTATTTATTTGGCTGCACCAGGTCTTAGTTGTGGCACACAGGATTTTCCATCTGTTGTGGGATCTTTGACTGCAGCATGGGAACTCTTAGTTGCAGCATGTGGGGTCTAGTTCCCTGACCAGGGATTGAACCCAGGCCCCTTTCATTGGGAGCACAGATTCTTAGCCACTGGACCACCATGGAAGTTCTCTAGTGACACCTTCTTGACAAACCCTGCAAGGAACTTCATACAGCCCTCTAGCCCCTAGTGGCCCATCTATTGCCGCACTTGTCAGGCTTCGCTCAGCATGCTCGTTAGCCTAGAAGACCTTCCATCTCCTTCTCTGACTGCTGACAACCTCTTCATTCTTCAGGACAAAACTGATGCAAATGTCAGCTCTTCCATGAGGCCTGCACTGGGCCTCCCCTCTGTCCTGTGCTCCTCCAGCCCTTTGTAATTTATTTTATTCTGTGTTCTACTGGAGATTATGAAGAGCAGGTCTCTGTTTCTCTCCACTCCTCCTCCAAGTCCCTTGAAGACACAGTTCTCTCTTTCAGGTCCTTAGGAGGCAGTCCATTAAGTGTATTGAATTGGACTCAATTGAAAAGCTGTTGACTGGCCCTGCCCCCCCTCCGCCAAAGGATTGCGGGGAGCCCCCTATCCCCATGCAGCCGCACGAGTCCAGGTCCCTGAATCCATCACCCCCACTTGCGTCTCCTTTCCTACAATCGCACATTCCCTCTCTGTGCCCAGCCTCAGTGGAGCATCCCCCTTTCTGGGAGACACGAAGCAGGAAACGCTGGCAAATATCACAGCAGTGAGTTACGACTTTGACGAGGAATTCTTCAGCCAGACCAGCGAGCTGGCCAAGGACTTCATTCGGAAGCTTCTGGTTAAAGAGACCCGGTAAGAGGACAGAGAAGAGAAGGGCACTGGCTTCTCAGGTCCTGACTCTCTCCTGCCACTTCTCCGACAGGCATGCCAGCCTGTCCCTGCTTTGCCACAGGCTGTCATCGACCATTGCAGTCTGATCTGGGCAGGTGCTGAGGAGTGTGAACTGGCCAAGACTTGGCTTGCATCTTGTTTACTCATGTCTTTCTCATTTCTTTTCCTGCTGAAATGCAAATAACCATGTGTGTGTGTGTGTGTGTGTGTGTGTAAGTCAGCCTGAATTTTTTTAGAGCTCTTTATTTTTTGCAGTTTGTCTCAAAGGTACCTGGACCTAGAATTGGTTAAAGGAAAGGGGCAGGGTTTTCAAGACGATTCAGGACGGGAGTGGGGAGGGTGTCCAGCCCAGAGGGGTCAGAACAGTGGGAAATTAGGAGACCTGCTAATGCCACCCATTCCTCAGGGCTCAGGGTAAGCCCCATGGGTGTGTGATCAAAGGAGATGGGCAGGGAGTTGGAGGGTGCTGGTGCCCAGAGGATGGATGAGCTGAGGTGGGGGCAAGGTCCTCACATTCTGGAAGGCCATGTCCTTTTGATCCCCTAGACTTCAGAGAGACATAGAGTAGGGTCCTCTAAAGTGCAGTGCCTGGTTTCGCTGTTGAAGGGCAATGGTAGGAGGGACTGCCCCACCTGGGTACAGGGCAGGGAAGGGCAGAGAAGAGATCTGGAAGGCAAACAGGAAAACAGAGACCAAAGTTTTCACAATGGAGAGCATTTAGGACTCTCCAATAGTGTGGGGTTGGGCCCTGCAACCCTGGGACTAAAGATGAGGTTTTATATAAGGTCATTTTACTGAGATTGCTGGACTGCTTTCTCTAATGTGCAGGAGATGTAGCCAGTCCCCCATCCACCTCTGCATTCCTTATGATTCTGGTTTGATGGCAGTGGTTGAAGGATGCCAAAAAGCAGGTCTGAGAAGAGTGAGAATGGAGACTCCTGCTGTCAGCTTCTCATGGATCATCACTGTTTTCTGATCTTCATTTAGGAAGCGGCTCACAATCCAAGAGGCTCTCAGTCACCCCTGGATCACGGTAAGCGCATGGTGACGAGTTTCAGCAAGCAGGTTCCTGCTCTGTCGCCAGGGATGCCTGGGCCAGATGCAGGGGACCTGTGGCAAGGCCTTTGCTTGAAACACTGACCCCTAAGCACAGAGGAACGCTAACTGGGGGTCTCCAAGGGTCTGGGCTTGTTCAAATAGGTCTGCGAGTTTAAGTTTCTATGTCATATGTTCAGGTGACTTATGAAAAGAAACTTTCACAAACCTCAATTGAAATCTTTGCTCTTTGGGTGATCTTACAAACTGTTCTTTGTCAGAAGACTCGTGTGCGTGCTAAGTCGCTTCAATTGTGTCCAGTTCTTTGCAATCCTGTGGACTGTAGCCTGCCAGGCTTCTCTGCCCGTGGGATTCTCCAGGCAAGAAAACTGGAGTGGGTTGCCATGCCCTCCTCCAGGGGATTTCCTGACCCAGAGATAGAATCTGCGTCTGTTACATCTCCTGCATTGGCAGACGGGTTCTGTACCACTGGCGCCACCTGGGAAGCCCCTGTCAGAAGACATGTCACAGTTATTCTCAAAAAAGAAATCAGGACTCCTCGGCTATAGAGAGGGATCAGCGACAGTTGAAAACCTCAGATTTGTAACCAGGGCTCCTTGTTTCCGACTTTCAAAGCGCTGAGTTAAGGATGACTCAAGCCAGTCAGTGGCTTCCTTAGGCACCTGGTGACCTCAGAGAATGGGCCGCCCAGCTGGAGGCCTGCTGGGGGAGAGGCAGTCACCCCTCAGGGTAGTTCTGTTCTCTCTGGGGAGAGTGGGGCACAAAAGTGACTTCCTGCCTAGCCCACTTTGTAACTGGGCTTCTGGCTGCTGGGTGTTCAGAGGGCCTGCAGACTCGTCTCAGGAAAGTGCAGGTGATAAGCTCTTTGGCAGGATGGGAATCAGGGGAGCAGGATTCTGACCCTGGTTCTGCTGATGGATGAGATGTGCCCTTCCAGGAACATCAGCAGACCTCCCTTTCACTTAAATTGTTAAGTGGCAGAGCTGGTGAGGGTGATCTGAGGGTGCAGATGAGAACGGGCAGAGGTCCACAGGAGATGGGAGAGCAGAGAGGGCTGGAGTGCCCTGGAGAAGGCTGGGTTCATTGACTCAGTGAAGGAAGGGGAAGGCTGAGGGCCTTCTAGGTTTGAGTGCGGAGCTGGGGAGTCTGGTGGGCTGCCTCTTAGCTCAGCATGTTAAGTGTTGCTGATCCCCAGGGAGCCCACAGGCCCTGATGGAGAGAAACCCCAGCTTCCCCCACTGGCCATGGCCTTGCACGCTTCTGCTCTGGAATGGATGCTTGCACAATCCTGGCTGTAACCTGCTTGACTGTGCAAGTACCCTTAAATGCTACGCGTGCAGAGACCCTCTCTAATGACCGTGGACCACCCTGCCCTGAAATGTGTGTGCAGGCAGCACCCTGTTCTCAACCTTTCTGATGGTCTGTGGGGGTACTCATCCCGCCCTGGTCCTCCCGTGGCCTGGCGCATGTGGCGAATGCAGAGACAGCTCGAGTGCCTTCCTCCTGCACCTTGGAGCAGATGTCAGATTAACTCTGGCCCTTCTGTCTAAACACCCACCAGTCCAAAGGAGAGATCAGAGCCCCAGAACAGCACAAGGCAGAGCCCAACCAGCTGAAGACCAAGCGCCTGAGAGAGTACACCCTCAAATGCCACTCAAGCATGCCCCCCAACAACACCTATGTCAACTTCGAGCGCTTTGCCCGTGTAGTCGAGGACGTGGCTCGGGTGGACCAGGGCTGCCGGGCCCTGACAGGGGCCCATGACACCATCCAGGACGACGTGGAGACCCTGATCTCCATCTACAATGAGAAAGAGGCTTGGTACCGGGAGGAGAGCGAGAGAGCCCGGCACGACCTGTCTCAACTCAGGTATGAGTTCCGCAAGGTGAAGTCCTCGAGGAAGCTCCTACGAGAGGACATCCGGGCCACAGGGTCCCGCCTCGGGGCCGCAGCCAGGAAGCTGGACCACCTGCAGACACACTTTGAGACCCTGAGGCAGGAGCTCTCAACAGACCTCCAGTGGCTCCAGGAACTGGTGGGCGGCTTCCAGCTGCAGAGCGGGAGTGTGGACAGCCCAGGTCCCATGTTCTGCCGGGACACCAGTGAGTCCCTTGGGGAGCTGCTCAACAGATCATGCAGCGAGGAAGTCTTGGCCAGCTTGAAGCTCTGAGCACCAGCCTTGGGTCACTAATGCATCCTGGATGGTTTGCTGAAGCCTGCTCCCAACTGCCCTGCCAGGCATCGACTCAAATCTCCTGCAGGGGTGTGTGTCTGTAGCATAGCCTTCCACCTCCTCCCAGAATCCAGAACCATGGAGGGACTAGCTAGTTGTCCATTCTGTGCCTCCTCTCACCTGCCTGGTTTGTTGGAAGGGTGACTGTCCAGGCAGCCAGGCTGTTAAAACAATTGCTGTTGAATACCGCTCAGCGTTCCCTTCTCCAGAGGGAGACAGCTGGTCCTGGGGAGACACTCAGTAACTGATTTGTGATAATGGACTTGTTCACATCTCACTTCCCGCTTTATGGACTGCAGGTCTTGCGTACCATTTGAGTTAACTAGGGATAATAGTCAGTCAGCTTGTTGCTTTCCTGCTGCTGATGGCAGAATTTTAAATTCACAGAGAAAAGATTACTTTTCATTTACATTGACAATTAACTTACCAAGCATTTGTGTTTGTGATCCTTAAAAAAAAACTCTGTGAGACAGGAAGGTAGGTGGTATTATTGTTGTTGTTACTGTTATTTCCATGTAACTGACGAGGAAACTGACCTCCAGGGGAAATGACTTACTCAGGATCATTCACAGCTAGCTGATACAGATGAAACACAAATCCAGAATGCCTGAGTCTAAGATGAGGTATATAGGAACAGATAGCTTTTGATGTAAAAATGCACTTTAATATTAAAGTTCAGATCCCACAGGTAAAATAAACAACTTCATGTATTTTGCCAGGTAATGTGGAAGCCTCATAACCTCTAACTGACTGTCCTAAGAAGTGTGTCTCTAGAAGGCAGGCAGTTTATTGTTCCCATCCAGCTCTTCCCTGTCTGAAGATCAGCCTGTGGAATAGGAAGGAAGGGACAGCTTCTTGCCCTTCTCCACCTTCCCTCCTGTGGCTCAGGGCTCCAACCTTCTGTTGGGAATGAAGACCCTTTTCTCATGTTCCTAAGGTCTGAAGAGGGTGGACATTAAGACTGGGAAGCATGAGGCCCAGTGGTTCCTTCCTGACCACAGGCTGTGTGCACCCCTCCCTAAAGACTGGATCATCTCATCTCCCTCTTCCCAGAGGAGGAGACAGCCAGCCAGCTCACAGAGGCAGAGTGTGGAGAGTGGGCCCAGCACCATCCTAGAGGCTTGGGGGTGACAGAACAGATCATATCGTTCCAAGGTGCCTTCACAGACTCACAAACCCCCTTGTCAGAGAGGAAGGGTAGGTGTTATTCTGAATTTGGTGCTGAGGAAACAGAGAGGGTGTGATTTGCCCAAGATCACAGTAGTGGCAAAAGTAGAAGCCTTCCGATGGGGTCTTCTGCTTCCTTCCCCTAGCTGCCCCAGGCTCCAGGGGTTCACTCTGCTGTGGGGCAGGTTCTACCTAGACACATCCATCTATCCACTTACAAAGAATTGTTCAACACCTGTCAACTGCTGGGCATTTGTCCTGTCCCCAGGAATACAATGTTGAGTGAAAACAGGTGTGTTTCCTGCCTTCATGGAGTTTGCAGTGAAGGACTCCACGTTGATCTAGAACATTCTGCAGAGGTAGAACTGCAGCTGGGACAGATGCTATGAGAAGATTGCAGCACTGCAGGAGCCTGCAATGGGGGGTGACCTAGTCAGAAAGGGTGTCCCTGAGGTGGTGACTCTAGAGCTGAGATCAGCGAAGCAAATCAGAGAGAAGGTAGTTTTCTCCACAAGACTGTCATGCCAGGGCTCTGTGCTGGGAGGGGGCCTGAGAGCTGAAATTGCTCAGGCAGAAAGAAAGCTGGAGAGGACAGAAGAGGAGTATGTTGTAGATGTGGCTGGAAAGAAGGCAGGACGAGCAGGGCTTTGCTGTACTGAAGAGCTCTGTCTCCATCCCAAGGTCATGGGACTGAAATGGGTGCCCAGCAGTCAGCAGCCCGATGTCCTGGCAGGGGTGGGGCTGCCCAGGGAACAGCACAGATGGGACATGGTTTAGAGTGATCCCATGAAACCATGTCTTTAAAATCCTACCTCCTTTTCTATTACATGCTGGATCGCTTCAAATATTATATATAATATTTGTAACAAACAGTTTTCATCAAGTAGAAGAAACCATATTTTCATCAAATGTAAGATGCATCATTATTTTATGACCCCAGAATAAATTTAAAAAGAAGCCCAAGCAATGATGTAAAGTAATTAGCCTCCAACTAATAAAAATAAATGGAAAAAAAAAAAAAAGAAACCCAAGATGGGAAGTCCAAGAGAAAACCCAAAATACAAAGCTGGGACACCCTCACTGAGAGCGGAGGTGAGAAATAAAGCCACCAAGTAGGAGGAGAAGGCAAGGGAATGTGTGCATCAGGCTTGACACTGGGTCGCTCAGTCGCTCAATCACATCTAACTCTTTGCAACCCCATGGACTGTAGCTCGCCAGGCTCCTCTGTCCATGGAATTCACCAAGCAAGAATACTGAGTGGGTAGCCATTCCCTTCTCCAAAGGATCTTCCCGACCCAGGGACTAAACCCAGATCTCCCGCATTGCAGGTGGATTTTTTACCCCCTGAGCCACCAGGGAGGCCCTGACGCTGGGGAGAGGGGTGGAAAAATCCTCCCCTGAGAACAGGAGCCCCAGGCGGGTGGTATTCAGACAAGACTCCTTTCTGCATTTACACAATTAGTGGAATCCAAAAGAACCTCAAGCAAAAAATCTAATGTTAGACAGTCTGAGGCTGGGTAGCGCTAATGGCTGGCAGAAGCAGTGTGGTCATCTCCTGGAGCACCTGCCTTCACTTC